AGGCTAATACGTATCTATCAGAACAACTACTTTTAAAAATGTATGATATAAAACACAAGTGTTGCCATTTCATGTGTTGTACCACAGTTAGTTTGAAGCTAACCAAACAATACTACATCACTGCTAGCCCCATGTCATATTTTCAGCATTAACAGACACCTCTTCGTAGTGAGCTGATTCAGAGTTTCTGCCATGGCTTCTATGTCCAGTTTATGTTTATGGAAAGTTACAGCTGTTTAGGACACGGTTGGATTAGATCTTGTTGGTGAAGGCCAGAATTTTATTTGCGCAATTCAGCTGAGTCTGCTGGGACTCAGCTGAGGAAGTGACATTTGTCCAAAGGTGACCTCAGTGTGACTACACATGAAGGAAAGCGTGAGATGCCCAGGAAAGACGGCAACATTGTATTGTGTTTTAAACTTTTTCCTCATCTTCTTCTCTCTTCTCCTCGGTCTCTGCTCTCGTGCACACAGAGTGCTTTTCCACATTTTCTGCTCTATTTCACTCATTTCGTCTAAACATTTTATAGTTCCCCACTTGTGATGCGATGACGCACTCTCAGGGAGTAAGGGATTTGTTGTTCCCTGAAGAAAGAAAAGGGAACTTTTGTCTGCTTACACTTCTGTCACTCCATTATGAGACTGTTATGGGAGAGATTTTGCATGTGGTCCCATTTATGGGCTGTTTTACTTCTATGTAGGGCAGTCAGAGAGTGACAGCTACTAACAACAGCCCAGACTGAACAACTGGTCAGTTCCCTTTAAGCTTTAACTTTGTCTGATTTACTTTTTAGAAGTCAGGGACTAATATGGATGAAGCTAAATGTAAAGCTAAATGTAAACACACCTCCTGTATGTCCATTAAGGGCTCCTTACACTGCTGAGCTTGGTCTACTTTAGTGTCATCTTGGCATGATGGCTTCTACTTTTAGCCACTTATCAGTAGACAGCACTCACGTGTATGCCAATAAAGAGACTTGTAGTGTAGTACTGACTGATATGGGTTTGTAAAGCTGCCACCAGATGATAGGTTGAGGTGATGAAATCTTAAAATTTTATTCCTATTTTACAAGGTTTCGTCCAGACTTTGACTCTTGGCACTGGCGTAGTTTTTGGGAATGTCATGGGATAAATATACTTCGGATCACAAGCATGTTTACCACGGTCACCATCTTAGCTTAGTGTGTTAGCATGCTAACATTTGCTATTTAGTACTACAACAACACAAAGTACAGCTTAGGCTGTAGTTATAAAGGTTATAATAAGTTCTAAAATGGACATTTGAAGATGATAATGGCGCTAAAAAGACGCTGAAAAGTTTATTTGTCTCACTCTGGACCGAAATGGTGAACCGACCAACCAACATTGCTATTCCTAGAGCCACACCGCTAGCATGCTAAATATTTAGCTCCAGAGATCCATGAACATTACATATGTCTGGGGAATAATCTTCATGCTTGAGTCAGAAAGTATTGGAGGAAACAATACATTTCACTTTGAGTGTCTTCAGGCTCACTTGTCATTAAAGAAGCTGGAAGTGAAATGTGATATTCTCTCAATAAGTTTTAATCTCTAAAAACAAACAAACTCAAAACTCACTTTTGAATACGCCATTTGAACTTTAGTCCGGGCCACGAAGCAGCAACGGGCCACGAAGCAGCAAAATTTCAGATAAAGTTTCACTTTAAGACAGGGTGAAACAGATTTCAATGCAAGGCTGTTTCTGAGCGATGGGAGACCCTGTCCTGCTGACATCCATGTTTTAGTACGTGATGATCCTTAAAATCAATACATGAGTGCAGAGTAAATCGAGCAGATATCAGTTGATGTTTGTGTGCATACTCATGAGGTTCTAGTGCCAAAGTGTTTCTATATGCGTGTGTGTATGCATCACTTCTGTGCCATGTTAAGTGTTAAGTACCAGTGTGTTCTGCCAGCAAAAAAGGACCTTGAGATACCAGAGAGTTTACAGGAACCTCAGCAGCTCTGCTATCATGTTTCCCCCTCTGACCCACTGTGGATGTCTGATGATCTGAGTGCTTTAAACTGGGAAAGCTCCCCTCCCCAAAGCCAGACATTCTGCAATTTGTCTCCCTCCTGCTGGATGGCCAGCTGTTTCCACCTTACTGGCCTGTTCCTCTGCCTCATTTCCCAGCATGCAATGTACAACTGCTCCCCGCCTCTATTCTTGCTTAGTTTTAACACACATAAAAAAACACATCCCACCAACATTCCTATATGGTGAGCTCAGTCAAACACACACATTTACACACTTTCCCTCAAGTGAGCACAGCATGCTATCTCACTGCAAGAACGCTATATTGTTCTTCATATGTGTGTGAGACAGGAGGGAATACAGTAGTGGTTTTAGGTTTCTGTCTTGCTTGAGACTTTATGTTTTTGCTGACAGAATGAGTTTCCTCAATTCTGTTTTCAAATCTTTCTTACCAATAGTAGTATCTAGCCAATCAGATAGCTTTAATTGTTAAGGTTTTGAGATATCTGTCTCTGAAATGCTGTGCCTCCAATCCTCCAAAAAAGGCAGAGGTAAATGGAAATCTGTGGTGCTCACAGCTTTCAAAATGAACATTCGACATCTCTTATACAGTTTTCATTGGGACTTTTTCTCCAGTAGAAACTATGCAAACTGCAAATGCAAACCAATGAGGTCTGTGGATTCTCAAAGGTCATCAGGCCACTGTTTCTGGGAGAACTGTTGTTGCTGTTTTTAAATATAGCCAGATTTTTTCAATACTGTGGCCACAACAAATTAGAATTACTTTCTTTTTTTTTTTTTTTATAAAACCAACTAAAACCAAAACTATCTGCTTGACTAAATACTACTAATTGTGGTAAAATTGGTTGTTTTATTTTTCTTTTTTTAAATTGGGTGAATAGAGTTCATCCAATTTAAATCAACTTCGTAAGGTGGCAATATGTTATACCTTGTTTCTGCTGCCCTTAAGTGGTAAAAAATCAGTTAAACCAAGCTTTTAAAACATTTTTTATTGGAGCAACAGTTCTTCTAGAGAAGTTATTAATTCCCCCCTTTTATCCCGCATCTTATTGCTGCAAGCTTAGTATAGTATGCCAGCATAGTAGTATCACACAATACTTTGAAAACACCCTCCAATTATCTGTGTTTTAGTCCTGATCAAGGATTTAGGATTTAGAAATTAGGATATGCCTTTCCTCTTTAACACCCATCCCTCAAGAGATACCATATTATTAAGGTTCCATTTGTATACCTTGCTGTGCTAGTTTACGTTTATGGTGTTCTTTGTGAAAATGCCCATAATGATGGAAAGGCAAGAGATTAGTCTATTGATGTATATTATAGCTGGTGGCCTATAGTTATATAGTTATATAGCAGTCAATGAAACTTCTACACAATGCTAACATCCCTTGGACTGAACATTGTTAAAAAGGATCAGGAAAGTGTGGCTACAATGCATTTCTTTGAAAAGACTTCCTAAACTACTACTTTTCCTCACTTTCAAAGTCATGCAAATAAATGTAAATGGTTCAGGATGTTTTTCTGCAGCCTATGGTCACGTCCTCTGTCCATTCATTTTGTGGTTTCTGACAGCAGAGACAAGCTGACCAGATACTTCGGTTCTGCTTCCAAACACCCCGACTTTATCTAAACACAGAATTGAGGCATCAGATGCACCAGTGGTGAAATAATGTTTTGGGTCAAACACCAGAAATCAGCCTTGTCTATTTAATTCCACTGTAACAGCCAAGTCTGAAACACAACCAGCTGTTCAGAGAAGTATTTGTTGCCAAAGAGCTGAGGGTCTCCAACATGGCTGCCTGAAGATGCGTTACATCCCCTGAAAGCTTGTTCCGGCGTCTGTTAGTTCAACACAGATGCAATGTGACATGTAGTTTGGTACTGACCTTGAGAAAATGAAAAAGCTATCAGCGCTGCACTGTTGACCGGACTAGTGTTGTTCTGTGTCAAATGGGGCCGACTATCAACACACTGAGCTCCATCTATCTGTCTGACGGGGCCACATGGAAAGTGAAAGCTTGACCCACAACCGATGTGGGTCAGCAGCACTATGCGTTTAAGAGTTTGAGATAGAACTATCTGCTCAGGATGCCGATTAGCTGTTTGCGTGTAGCTGATTGTGTTTGGCGAGAGGAAAACAAGCCTCCCCTGCAGGTCTGTGCTGATCACAGAGACAAGAAATAAAGTCACATAAACACTGAAATGTGAACTTGAGTTACTAATGAAGTTTGACATTACAACTTGATCTCAATCAGTCGAGCCGCCAGATCACTGGATAGATTTTGGCACCTCTCCCGTTGCTGAGCGTGTTAGTGACAGCAGAGCTTGATTTAAAACAAAGACTTCTCGAGTCTTATCAAAGACGGGGAGGCAGACACTGCGGTGCCTCATACAACGACCAGCTCGTTTATCCACCTCACCGAGGTCCACACACAGGCCAGCTTTGAAGTGCGCTGAGTCGTATCGTGCCTTGCTGTTTTGTTGGTTTGTTTTGTTTTGTCTGAAGTCGTGTCAAAAAAGCACAGATGTTGGAGAAAAGTCCAAAACCTGACAAGGGTGAAATGGTCCAACAATGACTCAATGAACAACGAACATCTGGAGTCCTTTTTTTTGTTCAAACCAGAGGAAAATAATGCCCCAACTCTTTGTTTGTGATCCAAACACAACATATTGGTTTATGAATGGCCCCAGACAGAACTCACACAAGATTAAAGGGGCAACAAGTACAATAGTGGCAAAACATGATCCTGTGTGGGCAATAAATCAGAATGATCAACACTACAACGATTCATTCTCCAGGTGTTTCAACTTCTGGCTTTCAGAACTAATTTTCCAGCTCGTACTCTGTTTTGAAAGTTAAAAAAGCTTCACCAACAGCCCTCCTACTGGTCGCTAGTGAAGGTCAAATATGACTTCATGCTCCTTAAAAAGCAATGAAGGGTGCTAGTGTGTTGTTGTTAACTATACACTTCTATGTGTTGCAGAGTATTGAGCGAGAGGAGCCAATAGAGGTGGACCCCGCCACAACGCATGGCGGACTGGAGAATGGACACGCTGCAACCACAGGTAACCACGCCACAACCGTCTTACACCTTGTAAGGTTGTTTGAAGTCATAGTAGTTTTAAAGGGCGACTCCACTGAATACACACAAAAAACAGTTTACCAGTCAATGAGTATTACTCAGCCTGTGAAAACAGTTGTAAAATGTCTTCTGTGGCTCTGGTAGAGCTTTGTGAAATGATTTAAATCTTATAAACTAGTGCAGTGCCCATTCACAGAGTGCAGTGCCCATTCACAGAGTGCAGTGCAAAATAGTACATTCGTAAATGAACAAAATGAGGTATGTAAACACTTTAATATGTAATAAATACTTTACAGAGATTAAAAGAAACTATTAAAAATAAATTCCCTAACCCTTTGCAAAAGCAGTCGAGCAAGCTCCTTTAAGTTATGTAGTTAGCATTTCATCAGGTTCTTATGTAACAGAGAAATATCTGTTCATAATGGTATACATTATTATATTAAACATAATACAGTTATGTACAGCTATGAACACTTCTGCTCAGTACTCCTTTGTCTCAGCACACACACCTGCCATGTGTTAAGTCGATTGGATGAACGGTTCTTGACATAGCTGAACTACAACACACAGATCCCTGCCTTTATTAGAGAGATGCATGAGGCCTTATACAGTAATGAAGTTCATGCTTTTCTGATGCTTTCTCCTCATGATGATCATAGTTGCAGTCACTGGATAAGTTTTTCTTGTTTGCATCCCGTTCAAAGACTGGGTAGCTCCCAGTATTCAGTGTGACTCTCAATAGATCAAGCTTAAAATACAATATCAAGATATTATGACCTTATAAGGCAAACAAATATTTGCTCATTTACACATCCAGAAGATAAGGAGCAACGTTAGCATTCATGTTGAATTGTGTTTCTGGCCACCTAATAAATACAAGGCCAATATTCACTCTCCATCTTGCTCAGTTTTGGTCTCCACCAACTCTCTATGTAACTACTTAATGCTCCACTATGTTCACCAGCTAGTTTGTCTGTTTAGTGCTGGGCAGGTAGTAAACTGAAAATCATCAAGCTGAGGGAAATTGCAGAGTCCGGTGAACTCTCTGTGGGTGTGTTACTATGAGCAACGACAGCAATGACAATTAACGTAGTCATTTGATCCGTTGTTATTAAAAAAATATTGGTTAGTGCAGCTTTGATAATTGTCATCAGAGTGATCATTATAAATCTTTTTTTATCCAACAAGAACATTCGGAGTTGGTACATGGAAAAATCTCTCCCCCCATTGACTTCCCACACGAGCACACAGCCCCTGTCACCATGCGAATGCCACACCTCCCCATCACCGCTACAACCAAGACCGCAGAAATGAAGGGCCCCGACTCTCCCAGCAGCCCTGCTGGTTCTCGGTCCTCGCAAGTCTCTGAAGCCTCACCTTCCAACCAATCAGCTGCTAGCACGAACCAGGCCCAACCATTCGAAGAGTTTCCAATTCAACCAGGTGGCTAATGGTCTCAACTCTATCTCAGCTTGTCAAGACATCTTTTTCTTAATTCTAAAATGTTTAATTGTCATACCATTGTACCATGTAATTTATGAAAATATCAAGTTGCTTTCTCCCAACATGAATGCAACATAATGTACAGTTGATTTCGTAAAATATTAATCTCCTAACTTACAATTTCCTTTTTTTTAGTATCTTCTACATGGGCCCCTACACCCATCAGAGCTCTGGGATCTCCCCGCCTTCAAGGTGAGATCATGCTTTCGTGACTCTAATGTTATCCTGTTTGAGACTACAACAGCATGTGCATGATTTACTTTGCCTGTTTGTCTTTTACAGAGAAAGCAAATTCAGCCCCTGCTAAGTCTGTGACCTACTCAGGGTTTCTGCAGTATGACAGGTGACTTATGAAGGACATCTTTGGAGACAGGTAAAATATGAGTTGCACTGTCTGACCCTTCTGTGCTCCCATCCCGCAGAGACGGTGATGTAAGCAGTGACAGATCCTTCGGGCAGGTAGGAGAGAGGAGGCGGGAGCTGGTGAGGTCACAGACTCTGCCACATAACATTGGAGCTCAGGCCCGTCGATCTATCTTTGAAAGACTGGACTCTGAAGCCATTAACAGGTAAATGCAATGTAATTCTGCTTTAAGGTCACATGGGAATTAGATACAAGTTTCCTATGCATTGAGACTCTCTCATGTATCTTTGGTACACTTCTGCTTATGTACAGTCGCCCTAAACCAGTGGACTCAAAACCAAAATTGAAGCGGTCTCAGAGTTTTGGGGTGTCCAGCGCCAGCAGCATCAAACAGATCCTCCTTGAGTGGTGTCGCTCCAAGACCATAGGCTATCAGGTAAAACATCTATTACAAACTTGCAGACACAATTCCACTCTGGCAACGTTATCCTGTCATTTAATGCCTCACATACATTCCACGGTTTATATGTTCCATACCACTTGGTCCACACATTATGTTATAAGTTGCTACTTGGCTCCACATAAGTCCAATACTATGCCGGTTTTAGCCCATTTGTTAGAAACTACAAAATTTTCCAAAGCAGATCATAGGATATTACATTTTTGAAAATCTTTCCTGCCTTCCAGGTAGTTAATTTCACTATAGCATGAAAATAAATTGGCAAAGACGTGCTTGAGATAGGTAATCCAGTGTGTCTGGTTACATTTTTGTCTAAATTATTTTACTGTTGAACAGTAATGTGAAACCTAACACTGTGTTCACGTCCTGTGGGGAGGTTTGAAGATCTGAGCTTTAAAGTTGGCAGTAGATCAGCAGTTGCCACGTTAATGCAAGAAATGAATAAATTCATGTTATCCTTGTCAAGATGTTTTCCATCTGGTAGTCTCAGGTAACAGAACTTCCTACCAGCATATGAACACAAGACATCAGCAGACTATAGATATTCAGTCAGCATCTCAACTGTAACATCATGCTATAATAATATATTTTTGACCAAAAAAAGTTTAATAAAAGTATATGTTTATAGTGAGGGATTGACTATGTTGATCAAAACTTGCCACATCCATACACAAACAAATGTAAAAAAAAAACAACAAAAAAACCCCACTAGTTTTCTGGAAACCTCATTGTGATGCCCATGGTTGTTGTTTGCCAAGACATAGCTACACAACGTAACTCCCCCTAAAACAACCAATTGTTGTTTTTACATTTCTTTGTCTGTACATGTTCAAGAAAAAAAGATACATGTAAATTAGTGAGCTTTAGAGGTGGAGGTTAGCACATTTTTTAACTTTTAAGACAACAAAGCTAGCTGTTTCCCCTGTTTCCAGTCCTTATACTAAGCTAGGCTAATTGCCTTTTGGCTCCAGGTCCTTACTTACTGGACCGACCTGAGAGTCTTCTCATCTACATTGTAACTCTTGGAAAGAAAGTAAATTAGCCTGTTTCCTATAATGTCAAGTAAGTCCTTTAACAGGGGACAGGGCACATTATTTAGCATTACTGTACGTGTGCCAGAGTTAGCCAAGATAGCAAACACATGAAGAAAGACTGAAAACGGCCAGCAGTAATGAAATGTTTACACAATTTGTTGTAAATTGAATCAACATGCAAAATTTCCAGCATGGTCCTTTAGTATGTAATGAGAGTAATGTGCTTTAAATGAGCCCAACCGCTGTCGGCCTTTCATATTTCACCTGTCAGCACACAGTGCAGTGCTAACGTGCTAATTTATCAACCTCTCAACCGTAGAGGCGTATGGAAGTGAGAGTCCTTGTGAATAGACATGCGCATGTGTGTGTGTGTGTGTGTTTTGGGGGTGCAGGGTTAAGGTAGATTGAGTCATGGTTGAAAACACAGACACATTGCTGCACTCTGGTACCCATTTCTTCACAGCAGCCCGTGCCAGCTGCTCCATGTGGCTTTGGTTATAGCCAAGCCAGGCAAAGCTAAGACTCTCATTAACTGGGAGCAAACACTCACACACACACACACACACACACGATGAGATGAGATGAGAGAGTTGTTCATCCGACGGCTTGACATGTTGTATTTCATTCAAAGCAAACTCCAGACTAATAAAGGACAACCTTACAATGACATGATTTCAAAAGCATGTAACAAACCAATAGCGGGAGAGGAGAGGAAAGTGGAAGCGAGAGGAGGGGAAAGTCTGTTTTATCCATCATAATTATGGGCTAGACAGTGAATGGGGAGATGGCTTTATGAAGCTACACACAAAAGCTGCCAGTCAGCTTTCTTCCACGCACACAAAGACCTGAAATGAAATTCGCTCACCGAAACACGCCACGTCATCACCAAATCTCCTTTTTCTCTGTATTTCTGTAGAACATTGACATCCAGAACTTCTCATCCAGTTGGAGTGATGGGATGGCTTTCTGCGCTCTGGTCCACTCCTTCTTCCCCACCGAGTTTGACTACAACTCTCTGTTGCCCGCCAACCGCAAACACAACTTTGAACTGGCCTTTGGAACTGCAGAGTGAGTGATGGCAACATCAGAATGTAAAGACAATGAGTGTTTCTGTGTTTCAGATACGATGGGTATGATGCGGTTTAATATTCATAATATAATGGATCATGCTTATTCTGGGTTAGCACGAAGAGATACCATATGAAGACGGTGAGACATTTTGATAATATGTGATACAGTGCAGTTTGAGAGGCTTTCATGACCCAACACAAATAGAAGTGCAAATGCAATAGTATTTTTTTTTTTTTTTAACATTAACTAGACATAATCAGAGATGGTGAAATTCTGGAAAAATATTGGTTAATTTGCAATGTTATTTCTTATCAGAGCTGTATTGGCATAAATCTAGATTGTTTACCTTTAATTTATGTTGGGGGTATTTTTAATGCTGGGATAAACTTTTCATTACAGACTTTTTTAAAGGAATTATTGGACAGTTTGAGGCACTCACTTTCCCGAGAGTGAGATGGGTTGACTGATAGCATCTCATGTTGGTGTGGCGTAAGGACTGAACAGAGAGAAACTGCAAATTTAATTTTGCTCACAGAAAAAGCTACTGTACGTTCCATAATAAACACATAGTTTGTTTATTCCGTACACAGAAATGAAAAAATTACAGTTTGTCGTTTTAGAGAGAGCTATGCGCTGTAAATTATTTCTTGACTAACAACAGCCGGGTGCAGTGCCTGTGGCGGTGTCTTGTTGTCACAGTGAGGATGCCAGGTTTGGTTCTATTGCTCCTGTGCCTGTACTAAATCCTAACCTGTCAGGCCACCCTCACTGTAGCCAGAGATGGAATACAGAAGTCTTGGGCAGATGAATGAACTATTGTTCGACAAGAAATAGTTACACCAGGTACATATCTCCCCCTAAAAGCACAATTTGTATTACAATGGCAGGCACATTTTTGCATTTTGGATGAAGCTAACAGTTTCCCCCTGCTTCCATTCTTTAACCTTAGCTGAGCTAGCCACATCCAGCGCCATACTAAACGCACAACATTAACGATCATTCTTCTCATCTAACTCTCAGAAAGAAAAGCAAATAAGCATCTTTCCTCAAACTGTTGAACTATTCATTTAAATTCACAAGAGAAATTGAACTCACTGGAAACACTTAATTGTTAGTAGAGAGTTAACTGTGGTTTCTGAATTTTGCTTAATTAGGGTATTTATTGGCTTCAGCGGCATTAACAATGCATGTCTTAACTTTATTGTGGCTGGATGTGTTTTCATTTGTTTTCTTTGTTAGTTTTGTTTTATAGACCTCTGCAAAGGGAGGTAACTCAGGGCTCAGGACAAAGTTATTATTATTAACGTAACACACACAATGTTATTTGGCCATATTCCTGCCTGTCCTTTGTATATTTAAGCATGCTTTTTTTCTTTACATGTTTGGTGAAAAGTGTGCATTCCTTTTGGCTGACTCCTTGGCTTCACAGAGCATGCCTTATTGTTTCCACAGACGAAAAGTGCTTCTACTAGACATACAGGCTGTATACAGTAGATCAGACATTATACAGGCCTACAGCGTGGACTTGCACATCCTGTATGTCCGAGCTTAAAGACTAACACTCGATTTAAGAGTGTGTTATTCTTTGACTGATAAGGCTGTTGCAGAATTAAGCTGATTTGATGAAAAACAATATTCACTTGGTCACAGGATCAGACCTTCATATATAGTGGCAGCTTTAGATTTGACCTCTTAAAGAGATCACACAGCAGAGACTTATAGGACAATACATGTATATGTATTATTACATGCATAGTGTCGTTCTTCATCCCCTCAAAACATGTTTGTTAGAATGTAAAGGAAAAGTCAGTGTTTCTGTCCGAACTATCTAAGACACAATATTACACTTGTGTTACAGCTTTAGAAATGTTAAATTGATGTCTCAGGCTGATAATGTCTTTTTCTTGATACAGAATTCAGTCACTGTGTTTCACCACTCATATAATGAAGAGCTGAAATAATAAGTTGACTAGAAGAATCAGCAGAAAATGTATCAACGACCAATTTTTCAAGCAAAAAACCCCCCCAGACATTTGCTGGTTCCAGCTTCTCAAATGTGAGGATTTGCTGCTGTTGTCAGTTCTGTAAAAAAAAAAAAAAAAAGATTTTAACACAGTGGATTTTTGACATTTTTCCATTTCCTGACCTTTCCTACACCAATCAATACACTAAAGAAACATTAAACTGATTCAGCCGTCATTTTGATCCCTTTCTACTTTCCATGTGTAAATGTATGATGTTTCATTGCCCCTAAATGCTGTTTCAGAAGTGTTTTCAGCCTGACAGTGAAATTCTGACTTTTCAAATGGTGAAGTTGTAGATGAAACCGTATTCGTGCAGCATAAATCCTAAATGGCCTCTGACTTGTGTTCTGTCTGTGTCTCCAGAGTGAAGGCAGGCTGCGACCGGCTGATCGAGGTGGACGACATGATGATCATGGGTCGTAAGCCCGACCCCATGTGTGTCTTCACCTACGTCCAGTCCCTCTACAACCACCTGCGCAAGTTTGAGTGAAACTGCACGGTTCTCCTTTAAGACGTAACCTTTTTCAACCTCTTCTTCACTGTCAGACCTCCAGCAATAGGCCTTTTTCTCAGTATCAAACCTTGAGCCATGAATCTGGTGAGAGAGCAGAAAAGACTACACTGCCCCCTGGTGGTGGATAAGTGAACATACCTCCACAAGCTGCAGGAAATGTGTTTCCACTTCAGTTGACAGATTGACTGGTGGGGAGGATGCTGTGTGAATCGCGTGGTGTTAACTGTAATGAAGAAGATGAATTTACACACAAAAATGTCAGGGCTGGTGTGTTGACAGTAGTGATTGTGTGTGTGTGTGTGTGTGTGTGTGTGTAGATTTAATATGCATTTATTGGGCATGCCCTGGGCTTGCAGATCTCTCCAGTTATAAAGGCGCCCACCTTGGGCCCTATCTGCCTGACTGGACATGCATTTATGTTGTTTAGATAAATATTTTGAATAAAGTGTGTTTGCGTGTCTTGATTGAGTTTTGCTTTCACCCCTGACCTGTTAGAGTCTGCTAAAACAAACCCTGGTGCAGTTCGCTTGTGATTTGAAAGCAAACACACCAACCACAGAATTTTGTTAGGGCAGATTTGTGATTGTGTGTGTTTTAGCATTATTTCAAAAGATAAAAATCTAATAAATCCATCTGCTGATTGTGAAATCTGTTCAGGAAGAAATCTTATAATTGATCTGTATAAAACATGTATATATTAATGCAAATCGTTTGGTAACCATGTATACACGCCAGCATGTGTGCATTTTCTGTGATTAGCAGGTCAGTGGCTGTTAAAATACTGTGTACTTGTACTCTGTGTACTTTGTTAGTTTATGAAGTCCATTAAAAAATGTGTGACAGTGATCCCACAGTAATGAGCCCTGAATCATTACTGTACAAGACGCCTCCTCTTTGTCCTGTCTCCACGTCATTACTCATAACATGTGGTGGATTTGCAGTCTAATAATAGGCCTACTAATAATGCTTACTTATTTCTTCTTGAGCTCTTTGTGACACCAAATAACATGAATACACACATATAGTGCCGCATTTATTTCCCTTGGGCCGGACTGAATGAACAGAGCTACAGGTGTGAAAGCGGCTTGCAGCCTGTCTGCTGTATTTCTGTTTCCCTCGCTGTTTTTCATAACAGTAAAAGTGTGGGAAAAGAGATCCCACTGGATAAGGGCCCACTAGAGATCCTCGCCCCGTCTACAATGAGCAATCAGCTCCGCACCTGTGCCTTGTACAAATCTTTGAACTAAACTGTAGGCAACTGTTTGTAAAGCAGCAGAAAATCTGATGACATATTTAGGAAAATATAATTGTGTGTAAAATGCAGGTGGTTGCTGACAGATATTTGCATCCACACATGCTGTGATATTCTGTTATTAAGGTGATGGTGAGATATAGAAATGAAATAAATTAATTGAACTGATGTGGACATTGTGTTGCTTTCTGGATGTCAAAGATACACATTTCTGCATTTTACTAAAAAAGGAAGGATGGAACAGATTATAACATCCCAAGACACTAGGATATTAAAAAAAGGAAATGAGAAAAGAACATAATGTCAACTAGACAAAAAAAGGCTGAAAGCTGATTGAACAGAGACACCAGTCTGTTAAATGACATCTGTTTGTAATTCTCTTGAAAAAGGAGTTTACTATTTTGGAGGACATTTCACCTGTAACTTCTGGATTACAGTTAATACAGAGAGACAGACAGACAGACAGACAGACAGACAGACAGACAGACAGACAGACATTTTATAGGCCAAACAATTAATAAGATAACATAGATGAAGTACTTGTTTAATCCCAAAGGGAAATTAGATCACTCTGAGGTAGAAAAGAAATAATAAAAAACATGTATATATACACATATGCACTATATCCCAGAAGCTAATATGTTCCCTATAGCAGCTGTATCAGCTTGTGGAGGCTATCAGAAAGAATATAGTAATATAGTTAGATAAAATGTAGAACAAATGAACAACCCATCAGTCCACTTCTCTTCTGATCTCTTCAGCACTCATGAACAACAAGCTTTGAACAGGGGGGTCAGTGTGACAGAAGCAGCAGTATATAAATATGTGACATCTTGCAGGCCACAGAGATATAAGATTATTTTATTATATTCTGAATATAATAATAAACCCTCTATATGAATCATCCTTGCTACATATTCTTAGGTGCCTGAACTGCTAATAGTTTTTTATGTAATCTCCTTGAGTAATTTATTTTCACTTTTCACACAAACCTTTTATTCAGTCTATTTAGAAACGGTGTCCCACACATTAGATATACAGAGAGCAGTTTAACATGTCTGGTGTCAGAATAAATGCCAGTAGCTGAAGAGCAGAATAAGACGAATGAATACACCAATAGCTAGGCTACTCTGTCATCGGGACATTGCTCCGTTTGTAAAGACTCAATTTATTCTTATTTATACATTCTTACAACCTTTGGTCGATTTTATAACCATAAAATAATTTCCAAAGCATTTCCCACACGAAATCATATTTCTGCGCCACATTAATTCGCAAATAAATGTGGATTTTAGCCTTTGCTTTCCCTCTGATCTTTAGTCTGTTATTGTTAGAACAACACATGTCTTTATTGATTTTCAGATAGGCTGCACAACGCCATATTTCCCCCAAACTCTTCAAATACAAGCAGAGCGGCTGAAGAACACATCATGCAATGCAGCATGATCCTCCTCTAGGGATTAGAGGCAGAGGTGAACAACACCTGGATTTGCGGGGTGGTGGGGTGTGGGGTGTGCCATCTGATCTGGGTATAAGAAGCGGGCACGCCTCCTCAGCTGTCAGCAGCGGTGGAGGCCGAGCAGTGGACGTGCGCGTGTCTCTGCGTGGAGTTATGGCTCTTTTCTTGGACTCAGACTTTTCTTTCCTCAAACAGAACCAGCAGAAAGAGATGATGGGGTTCAAGGCGTTATATGGAGAGCAGGATCACTGCAAAGGTGCGTTCAGTATCACATTTAGTTTTTTCTTGCACCTCCCTCATCAACGCCAAGGTTTGCTCGAGAAACCACCGAGACAACAACGAAACTCTTTTGAATGAACATAATTCGTTTTTTTTTTTTTTTTTTAAAAAGAACTTCGATCAGTGTGACATTTTTAAAACGGCACACAGAATAATTATGTAGGCCTAAATAAAATGAAGACTTAAAAACAAATAATCGTAGCCAATAAATCAAACCTAACAAATATAAATAATCATAAATAATGAAGTAGCCTAATATGACATTTTTAAATTATTAAAAATGTAAAAATAAATAAATGGTGTATTAGCCTACAGTATAGTTTTGGTAAACAGCCCTTGTGACCATTTTAATAAGCATCACAGCTCGTTTCCACCTGAAACATGTTTTCCTCATCAAAAATTAAATTTTATCATCTCCTTCCTACTAATTTAGCCCTTTTCATTTCATAAGCACATGCATTTTTGTTTTATTTTAATCATTTTCATTTTCATTTCTCAGATGTCCGGGGTGAGACCGGGGTGTCCTCTCCGGAGCCGGAGAGGGCCGCCGGTTTGACGGAGGGCCAGAGGAAAAGGAAGCGGACCATCTTCAGCCGAGCCCAGCTGTCTGAGCTGGAGCAGGCCTTCGCTGTGACTCCCTACCCGGACATCACCCTGAGGGAGAGGCTGGCCGCGCACACACACCTGCCCGAGAGCAAGATACAGGTGAGGGAGCTGCTCAGGGCTCTGTGCAAAAACGACTACACGATATGCGATATTAGTTTCAGAGAATGAGATGAAAAGATCCTTAAACAGTGTTTCAAAGATATAGTCAATGTCAAGATAGGCTATGTGAATGGGGGTCTGGAGGGGCCTCTGATCTTTAAACACTTCATTTCCTGCATTCTGGTGAACGCTTCTGCACCAATTTATGGTGAAAATGTTTTTATTTATGTAAAAGGAAACACAAACTTCAGATGGCAGGTGACATTTCAAAATATATAAATGTAGTAGAATCTAAGTCAGTGCAGCTCTCAGTCATTCTGTGCTGCTTTCAGATCTGTTTCTCCTGTAGATCAACTTTTCTCATGTTATATCATCCCTGAGGCAGCACATATGTAGGCCTGATTTAGTCTTCCCTCCTCTTTTGTCATGGTCACAGGGAGAGAACGAAAAACAAAGTAAAAGAAACTGTCAAGAAGTTGTTAAAGTTACTGATTGGTGCCCGGTTTTGGATCATTTTATAATCAGCAGCTTGGTTTTTTTTAGCTTAAGTTACTTTTTTTGGACAATGTACATTTGTTTCTTCTATTTTTTAATTGCATTGCATGTTTCTCTTAATTTTCATTTAACTGCAAGCTATATTTCAGAAAACATTTTTTTAAACCAAATTATGGTTTAAAAAAGAGATGGGGACAAAATCAGCCATTTCAAAAAGTGGTGGGGACATGTCCCCAGCGTCCCCAGTGTAAATGACACCCATGCTCAGATCATGGTTTTCTGTTGTTTTTACAGCTAGCTCTAGTGGCATTATTGTCTGTTTAAAAATATTTTTCTAGCTATGTTTGTTGGTGGTCCTGCACAGAGGTGGCGGTAGATATGGAGAATCTTCTGGTACAGTTCACCAAAAGTGCAATTAATATGACGCAGACATTACAAGTTTTTTTCCATTTTCCACAGGTGTGGTTCCAAAACAGAAGAGCCAGAAGTATCAAGACTGGGAGACTCCCCAAGTCAACCAAGCCCGTCCTGGGAGGTAGAGGAGTTGTTGATCCCTCCCCTGGGCCCGTGACATCTGCTCTCCTTGCCTCAACCACCCTGGCAGACATATTCAGGCCAGAGCAGACCCACTCCTGTGAAGACGTCCCGCAGATTTATTCCGACTGGATCCAAATCTACAGCAACCCGGTATCATCTCCACCATCTTCCTCGTCTCTCCACCCGCAGCCCGGCTCCTCAAAGCCATCAGAGTCTCGTCTCTGGGAGGAGGAGCAGCACCACCACCACCACCATCACCAGCGGCAGCACCTGGGACCGGCAATCCCCAGCTTCCTTCCTGGGTCATTTCCTCAGCCCATCACCAGGCAGCCTCACCACGCGGCCCCCACCCACTCCTACCAGGCCTTCAGGAACTTCAAACCCCAGAGTATGGCTCCATCTGGTGCTCATCAGGCCATGTACGGAGGCAGCGCCAGGGGTGGAGGTCACACCTCTGTAGACCAGGTAGTCCCCTCCCACCCTCAGTCGGTGTACTGGGAGGTAACTCAGGGCCAAGGTCACCACCACCCACACCATCACCCCCCACAAATGGGACCACAGACCTCCATGGGCTACATCTCAGACCTGATCTACAACGCTGCAATTGTCACCAACTTTTTGGAATTCTGATCAGTCTGGATGAACTTCGGGAAATATGAATACTTTGTAAGTCAACAGGGATAGCTGTAGCTGAATAGGGCTTCCATTTCTATCAGTGTTTCCCTTGACAACGCCTCCTCTGTCTGTCCTGTGTGTTGAGCTTGTGGTTCCTCAAACCTCTATATACTTCAGAGTTGTTTTAAGTGGTTGTTGGCTTGTCCTTGTCCTGTCTTTTTACTATGTTCCAGTCATGTTCTGAAATATGTTTGGGAGTGATTTGGTTCATTTCACCCCGGTTCAATTCGCAGTATTTTACAGTTGCTTTGGCTCAGTTTTCACAACAGAGTTTCAGCGTGAAAAACGTCAAATGCAAACAGTCAACACTAAATCACATGCTGCGGGCTCGGAACACACGTTTCACTGCTTACAACTGAGCATCACTGAGTCACACATGTGACGTTCATTTTGCTCATGTCAAAAATAATGGCAGTGGTGGAGATTTAAATGTCAAATGTTTCAATGTATTGTGTGTTGCTGTAAATTGTGATGTACTGTCATAGCGATGTTTTCCAGCATTACTGTAGCTTATTGGATGTATGTAGGATTTGGCGACTTGAATAGATCGATACAGAACGTAGAGAGTAAACTGACGCAGTGAAGTTCGATCACAATCATCATTTTGTCTTATATGACTGTTCAAGTTTCAAATCAGACTTTGGACTACGTTATCTACTGAATATTTACAACAATACAACATGTCCAATAAATAAACTGAACACTTTCAAAAGTCATTCTTACACTACATTTTACAAATGCTGACTTCTGCTGGAATTGCACCTTTTTTCCTTCATTGTTATTTGTATTATTTTGAGGAAATGACCACCACAGATTGTGTTTGGATGAGACGTGGCTACTGTTTGACTGCAATGCAATTCCCTGATACATGCACTCTAAGGGGTATTACCTAATTTGATTTGAGAGTTATGTAAAAGTTTAGCAAATTGAAACTCTTTGTGGAATGAAAACTGAGCCAAAGCGACTGTAAAAATATGTGAAAAGGTCTCAGGACTTTTTCCAGCACAGCACGTTTCCAGTCTCATTCTGATGTTTTCAAATAAACCCAGCAGTGAAATCACTGAAGTGCTTGACATGGATTCTTGTCACAGACGGCAGCTCTTGTTTTCCTTCTCTAAGCTGAACTGTTGCATGTTTAATGCTGCGACCCCAGGAGTATTATCTTTCAAAACATCGTGATTAAAATGATTCATGTGGTAAGATACCATGACAGAAATAATTATTTTCTAAGTCAAAATATCTCTCTGTACTGTAAGTACCAGGAGGGTTAGATGGACAGAGGGAAGGAAAAACAATAAAAAAAATAAGAACTAAATTAAAGCTAGAGCTCAGGCTCTATCAGCTTACAGGCTCTGTAATTCTGCCTGGATTTAAGTTTAGAATTATTAAATGAGAGGCATAATACAGAGGCAAATATGACAGACAGTAGCACACTGTTCGTCCAGCGCTGGACAGCGATCTCTGCATATCATAATCATCTTTAATACCAAATAATCTTTCAATAAACCTTTAATCCGGGTGTCAAATCTCAGATCTTAGGAAGATACTTTTTTTGTATTCCAGATGTAGTTACATATTTTAATCTTTCCACTGATATGGCAGGACTTAATAAGAAGAGGATATGATAGTTTGCAAAAAATATGAATTCATATCTGGAGAAGGGATCAGAGAAAACCGATCTTCTGTGTCGCACTGGAATTGTTTTGAAATAAGATCCATGGTGTTATTGTTCTGAGAATGATAAGTCTTCCATCAGAGCTACTGTAACTCTGGGGTACAATAATCGCTTGTTTTTCCATGTGTTGGCTGACTCTATAATTCACTTTAAACAAGATATAGTAGGCTAGCAAATCAGAGGACAATTATTACCACATCTGTCAGCTGGAGACGGCTGATAAAATAACAGCATTACTAACTGATGCCACGGCTGGTGGGCTATTTAGAAGAGTCAAAACAAGGGCAACTACACGGCAACATAAAACTCGACAAAATAACTTCACTCAAGGTCAGCTTACTACCTTGTCATGGCCTTCATTGGTGGATAGTTTGCTCAGTTGAGAATGCTTGAGGAAAAGTAAATCATGACTATCACTAACACTCCTTAAAGGAGGGGGGGGCTGGTCTGCAGTCTGGTGGTGCGGCAGCTGGACGTTCTACATCTCTTCCCAGAAGGCAGCAGGGTGAACAGGCTGTGGCTGGGTGGGTACTGTACTTTAGTATCCTTCGGGCTCTGCTTAAGCACCTCACCTCACCGATATCACTGATGCTCGGGAGATGGGTACCAATGATCTTCTGATGTTGCTAGATGTAAAGTGAAGCATCACCAAAGTGATTACAATTCATCCCCTGGGGAGCATGAATGTACCAACCAAATTTAATGGCACATGTTTGAGTGAACTTGTTGCACTGGGTCACGTTTCTTCATTATCATGAACACACACACTCTAGTTTACTTTGACTCAATTGCACAGAAACGTTTCTGCTGCTCCAGATACTCACTAGAGCACCATGTGTGGATTAGTCAGTGGCTAAAAGTAGTGCCTGACAAATGCACCATTTCCTCCTGTTTGAGGAACATTTTCTAAAGACTACAGTGCCCATCTGAAATTACTTTATGTCTGTGACCTGTTTGTTACATTTTTGTCTTTAGCAGAAATGTGTTTGGGGTTGAGTGGCACAGACAAGACAGATACAGAAAAACACCTTCCCTTTTAATACTCAATAATTGTATAATACAGATGTTAATGGGCCGTTTTAGATATATATGTAACTCACAAACTAAAAACAGAAACTAACAGTGAAGTCAAATTGAAATAAGTACAGTGTTATATCAAGTTCCAGTGTCCTCACAATGTCACAGTGTTTCCATATCTCCTGAACAAACATGTACAAAGTGCAGACGAGCAAAATCTACTTTATAGGGAAGGTAACACTAACTGGACAGTTATCAGCTTGATGAATTAGCTTTAGTTAGTGCTGATGAGTTTATTGAACACAAACATATGATCACATCTGACAAAGAATGGAGGGAATCATAAGTAAATGAACATATTTTTATAGGGCAATGCCAAGGAGAACGAAGAAAACATAATAAATATCACTTTTTGAACCAGTGTCCTTTCTTGTAATTTTCCAGCTTTCATTTTGTGCTAAAAAATGTCACTGATTTGAAAATTTGAAAAACTTATTCTTACTCAAAAAGTCCACCAAGTTTCCTGTCAAATATATAGCAAAAAGTCCACAAAGTTTTCATGGCAAAGTGAAATGTCTGTTCTGAATCAGTAGGCTTGGTAGGGCTGCTATGGTTCCCCTAGTTCCCCCTCCATGGTCCGGACCAGCACATACAGCTCAGCAAGCCCGACTACAGACGCAGCAATCACAGCTGCTATTACTCGCTGGAAAACAAAAAGCAGGACACACACAAGGCACAAGTCAAACAACTTAAAGAAGAAAACATCTGATACACATTTCACTGTAATGCAATCCAATAGAAAAACATCACAAAATACAGTGAATGTTTAACTGCATGGAGCTATATGTAAAAAAGTGGCAGCTACATGTAAAGTATACATGTTAAACTAATTGTTCTCTTACCGCTGCAGTATCAGTGAACAGGTACTGACTTCCCATATATGAACAGGCAAAAGCAGCAACCACAGTGACCAGGAAGTTGAATATGGTCAAAACCAAAGCTTTAACCGATCGCACTGGAGAAAGAGAAGGGGAAACAAAGTCAGATAAAGTTCATTTTCAAAGTAATGCATTTATAATTCAGTCTCTGTTTGCTGGTATTGTGATAATATCATATTGAACTTGTAATGAGATTAAACAGTAAATGTGTATCACACTAACTTTGCTGTCCAAAATCTGCTAATGTTCCACTGCGGTTGATGTCCTGCAGACAAGCAAAGATATCACACCATGAGTAGAAAACATAAGCTTTAACAGTGCATTTCAGTCTGTGACTGGATCTCTCTCTGTGTCATATATACACACACTCACAGAGTACATTTCTATCATGTTTCATTGCATGAAATCACATCTTGGCTTCTAAGAACCAGAGATGACTTTAATGTTAACATCATATAAAAATGTACCTGAGTGTTGACATTACGCGTGATTCTGTTGTACTCCTCATTGGCCAGTTTGGCTTTAATCTTCTCGAGACGTGCCACTAGCTCAGGGTTCTGCAGCCAGAGGGAAAAGTCACAGCTTAACTTGAGTTGCTTGGTCCTGATGATATTGGTTTTACATTAAGACCTTTGGACCTCAATTTGAAAGGATGATACTCAAAGTATAAAGGGACAAGTTGAAAGAAATTGGACTCCTTTGTCGAATTCCAACTGTGATTTAGGTAGGGGGACAGCTTTTCTGCCTCTGTTGCGTTACACTAATGGATGTTTCAAAGGTTAAACAGACATATACAATATGACAAGTTAAGGCACGTCCATAGTTTCACTTACTCTGGGAGGCTTCACGACCTCAGGAAGGTGCAGTGAGCTCTCCTCCAACAACTCGTGCAGGTAGAAAGGATGTCCTAGTGAAAAACCATACACAATATACAGTCATTACATATTACTGGCATAGCTTACAGTATGAATTATTATATTGCAGAACATCACACCACTCCTAACCATGGGTTTCACCGGTGTGACTCCATCAGACTAATTTAGAAAACAGTATCACTATACATTTCAGATACCAGGCTTTACCTTTGTCCTGAAGCCATTTCCTGAGTTTTCTCGCTGTACTGAAGGACAGGGTTTTTGGTTCCGGTTTTGCAAGAGTCTCCTCCAGTTCTTCTCTCAGTCGCTGGGGCAGCGACGAGTCAGACTTTTCCAATAACTCCGTAACCTTATTTCTGAATGTATCACCGACGACAAATGCCGAGGCCATGGTTTTAATGCAGCCGACTCTGACCGGGAGATCAGATTTTCTGCGACACTGCTGTCTAGATAAATAAACCTTTTGTCAAGCGTGCTCTCAGTGAAGCAACAGGTGCCGGCGTACACATGCTTACAAGAAAACGACTCAACTTGTCTTTACCGTACATTGAAATTCAGCGTTTAATAGCTAACGACAGCTAACACCAAGCAAGCAGCCATATTGTTTGCCTTGTGACACGATGACGTATTAGCTCACATGATCAACGGTGTGAAAAATGATTTTAAATTGTGAAAATTGTCAAATCTCATTTATAATCGTTGTAAACGGTTACCGTTAATGATAAACTGTGTTATTGTTTTATTCCGTATTTAACTTAAATGTTGCTTTATACAGAACACGTGAGCTCTTTTGGTGCTTTCACGGTCCGCTCATAAGCTCCTAAAACAAAGAGTGGGGGATTTTAACAGGCGTGACGGGTAGTTAAGTGTTTTAGTAAAGTGTTTTTATCGTGACTGGCTGTTACAGTAGTTTACAGACATTATGGCAGAGGATGTCTGTCTACTATAAAACACTAAATGCAGGTTTATAGTGTAGTTTAGTTCTCGTAAATACGAATCTAAAGTCGTTCCATGAACGCAACACTAGTATCTGTAAAGGCGTGTGTGTGTGAGCGTGCCAGGGCTGGAAAGATGGCGGCCTGTGCGTTACGCCGAGGTTTGTGGAGCACTGTCAGTAAATACAACAAGAAACACACGCACCGAATACTGAGTGTGGTTGACAGCAGCAGCGGGTTTGAGGTGAACAGACCGCGGGTTCAATGCCGAGCCTGTGGACTGTCCGGCGGTGCTCAGCAGAGGAGGTTCATGTCGTCACGGTAAGAGACGCAGCAGTGTCCTCCCCTGTTCATGCTAACACGCTAAAGACTTTAACATTAGCCAACGTACGAGTTCAAGATTGCACCGTAAATAACGTCACCTCATTGTTGTTGAATGGACACATGCGTCGATATGGTATCATGGTGTGCAAACTGGATATTTAGCAGCAGAAAATGAGGAACGTACAGTTGCCCTCTGTTGTTCATTAGCTAGCAAGGCAAGCAGCCAGCATGGGTTGAGCAACACCTGACACTGTCTAATCCGACTGCCTCTAACCTGTTGAGACCTTACATGTCAAATCACACTGTTAGACAAAGTTAACACCCATCGTGGAAGATTCTTTACGAACTTTAGCATGGTTAAGTAAGGTTATCATTATTAGCACGGTTTTAATCCGGTAAAAGTGATGCAACAAACTGTAACGTTAATTGTCTAACATAATGGTAGGCCTGTATGTAAATCTCTTAACTTATCTAACAGTGTATAAAAGAATGCATTGTTCATTGGACAGCTATTCTTCCTTAAATGTAGCCTAAATAACTTGTTTCTATAGCAAGTACTATTTAACATTACCCTGTTGTTACTTAATAACTCTGCTTAAGTGAACATGATATTGTTTATTCATTATGAACTTACAAATACCTTGCTTCCCCATCAAGAAAAAAACTGAATAAACAAAAGAGCAACAAAAATCAGATCTATGTATTTAATATTTGCTGAAAATAGATTGAAATTTGTGCATCAAAGCTCATGTAAACTGAAGTTTTCATGATCTTCAGTGGAGCCTCTGCTTCTTTCAGTACTGGTGCTTGGCAGTTTTGCACTGCCGCTGTTCTGACAATATATGCTGCCTTGTCGAAAAATGCTACCTTATGTGTTCCAATTTCTAATCCCCAGAAAGGTATAACTCTCTCAGTATTGTGACATCTTCTGTTTATTGATTATATTATAACATCATTTCAGGGGTAGCGTATTCTCTTGGACTATAATGATTTTTCTTGGTATTGCTGACGATCAGTCACTGTCTCAACAGCATGCCAAACAGTAAGGTTGCACAGATTTATGGGTGTGGAAACAGACCACGCTTATGGGTCATGCGCAAAACCACTAAGTAGCACATCTCGATAGGTAGCATAAATCGACAGAACACCGGTGGTGTGCCGAATTCTGCATGCCTGCCAAGAATTGCAAACACCTCCTGGTAGGTAACAGTCATTTATGCTGAGAAAATGCACATGGATGCATATCTCAGCAGGTAGCCTACAACATCTGTTCTTCCGAATTATACATTCACCTCTTAAGGTCCTTTTCAGACACTTTGCCGTGCCCATTGATCAAACGCGGTTATCACCAAATGTATTTGCTGAATCTCAAGGAATGCTTCTTCTAAGTATAATAAAATATTAACGACTCTAAATATATACTTAGAATAATTTGTCCCCGTTGATGAACCCCACAAAGAATATTATAAAGCAGTATTTGGAGGTGCATGCAATTCTCGGCAGGCATGCAAAACTCTGCATAACCAAGCGGGAAGCTTCCGGTCTGAGACGTGAATCCAATGCGGAAGTCCCTAAAACCTGCGTTCTATTGAACGGCCAGCGGGGGCGACTCTTCTGGTGTGCAAAAAGAAGTCCGGCTCCATTAGGAATAAAGGTAAAATGACCCTACTTCTCAGCTGATTTATTACCTCAGTAAACGCTTTCAAAATGAATTTATGGTCTCAACCGCTAGTTTCAAGTCCTCTTCAACACAACCTGATGCTCATTTAGTAAATTGTGGTCCCATTTAGAGGAAAATAGACCATAAAGCAGAGTGTGCTTCAGGGAGGGATTATCTCTGATTGACAAGTCGTTACCATGGCGACCTGTCAATCAGGCTGGAGTGAGCCGTGCCCACGGCGCTGTGTTAATTGCATCATCGTTGATCAAAACTGTGAAATGTCTGCCTAAATTAGCTCTTCAGCATATCCCAAAACTGGGAAAAATCGAGCCTTTGACACAGCGCTATTGAAGGGAACAGCCGCGAAAAACGCATGTTAATTATTAATTTAACTTTACCCAAGTTTCCAGACATGACTCTTACTGCACTTGTCGCCATCTTCCATGTGTTGGATCGATGGCAGTACCTACGATCCTGTAGGAAATTTGAGTACCGTTATGTTTTCAGATTTTTGGCTTTGACTTGGTACCGAAGTATCTGTTCTCGTGTCATCCCTACAGTAGGGCTGCAACAAATGATTATTTTCGTAGTTGACTATTCTTTATTATTATACTACTACTACTATTATACAATCTACTATTATTTATTTTATTGGTCGACTAGTCACGATATTTTTGACACCCCCTAACCCAAATTAAACCATTTTAACTAATTAAATATCTTTCAAGTGAATTACTGATCTCCAACACACAGCCTAACTAGCTAACGTTACTATGAAATGAACGAGGTTTACTATTCAGAATGAACACTAGGATCAACGCCTGGGTAAAAACGGGGAATAAGACAAGACAGTGTGGGCTACTCTATACTCTCTACTACTCTACTATAAGTCACTGATTTCCTATTGCACTTAACGTGTTTGCTAACAGAACTGAAAGAATGTTCTCTTAGCCAGCATCACTCATGAGACCTCAAAACCAAGAATACAAAGAACTATGGAGAGGCTGCTCCAAGATAACAGCCAGCCAAAACGATAAGCTCACAATCTGATTTATTGCAAAGTAATTTAAAAAAAGTTAACCAACGAAGGTTAAAATCAAGGGCAACTGGACTTGGTTGAAGATACTGGAAGACGTTTCGTCCCTCATCCAAAGGACTTCTTCAGTTCTGACTGACTGGCAGGGAAACTCAGCTATTTAACCTCAGTGGGGTCGTTTGCCAGGATCGTCGAAACCGCTGGTTCGTTAGTGTTCCTGGTTGCTGTGAGGACAGTCGTTACAGTCGTTAGGACTACCGGTGGGCCAAGACTGAACGACCATCGTTGGTATCTTCACCTGAGGCCAATAGGTTACGTTTGTTGAGTTTCCTGGGAAGTGATGAAAGGACAGCATTGTAAGTGGGGGATAAGTGGTGTCGTAGACCCCCTCCCCTGTTCAATGACGGCTTCTCAACCCGGGTGTAGATCTTCCTTGACGCCTCTTTCAAACCATCCATCTTCTCTGTCTAAAATGTGCACCTGGTGGTCCTCAAACGAGTGTCCTCGGTCCTTCAGATGTAAGTAGACTGCAGAGTCTTGACCTGAGGAGTCGGCCCTTCTGTGTTGAGCCATGCGTTAGTGTAGTGGTTGTTTAGTCTCCCCAATATACAGGTCTGTGCATTCCTCACTGCATTGGACCGCATACACTAGATTGCTTTTCTTGTGTTTGGGTGTGTGGTCTTTGGGGTGGACCAGCATCTGTCTTAGTGTGTTCTTGGGTTTAAAAAACACAGGGATGTTGTGTTTGTTGAAAATCCTCCTGAGTTTCTCTGATACTCCAGACACGTATCGAATCTCAATGTTACTGCGTTTGACCTTCTTTTCTTCATCCCCTGTAGTTTTGGTCTTCTTGGATCTTGTGGCTGTTTTCACAAAGGTCCATTTAGGGTATCCACAGGCTGTAAGTGCCCCCTTCAGGTGGTTCTGTTCCTTCTCTCTGGCTTGGGCGCTTGTTGGTATGTTTTCCGCTCTGTGGTGCTGTGTTCTCACCCCTAGCTTGTGCTCCAGTGGCTGGTGGGAATCAAAAAGTAAGTATTGGTCTGTGTGTGGGTTTCCTGTAAACACCAATCTGCAGGCTCCTGTCCTCTTCAATGTGTACAGCGCAGTCCAGGAAGGCCAAACTGTTGTTGTGAACATCTTCTCGTGTGAACTTGATGTTACTGTAGACAGAGTTTATGTGTTGATGTATGACCTGGATGACTGAGAATCTTCACAGACAAACATTTTTAACAAAGATTTTTTCTTTGGAACTATATTAAATGAAAGCACATTTAAAGCAAGTACTGTAACCACAATTGTACACTACCAATGTAATGTCTATTTAGAAGAATGAAACAACATCCCCCTTTCAGCCCTACCCTACATTCACTCAGATTTGGATATCAAAAGACATTTCTGTGTTTTTGTAATAGAGAAATCACATCTGGAACAGTTCCATGTCATGTCACTGCCCTCTGTCTTCACATGGCACTACCTCGGTAGAATGATTGTCTAAAGTTTTGGTGACTAATATTGTGTGCACATACACTGCCTGGTGCACACTAGAGGATTTTCAAATCTTAACCGACTTAAAAAAGAAATGCCACAGACATAATGAAAGAATTAACCAATTCAGACCAGACGCAGGACCACCTATTTGCCATTTAAACAACAATTTCGGTTTGCGGTTTTGGGGAACTTGGGATCTCACAGAAACTCGCATGATCATACGTGACTTCAGACAAACAAACGTGAAAGCAGACTGTCGTCGTCAGCTGGTTGCTGTTGGTGTGTGCTGTGTTTTGTGCAGAAAAGCAATAAAAAGATTATAAAACTGGATGAACTCATGGTTGAGAAGAGGGAATAAGCATAGTTTACATTTGATTGCACAAGCAAAACACAAGACGTTGGTGGCGCTTCCCAGTCAGGTAAAACTGGTATGTCTGTTTTTGGCTGATCCAGAACATTAAATACTTAAGAAAGCAAGGTACTGCATCACATGCTGTAAATACAACAATCCAATATTGCCACTCCGGCTCACTGACTTGAAATGGTCAAGAATATGGCCAGAAATATTAAAGGGAGACTATTTGGTATATCGCTATAGCAAAAACTCTGAGGACTGACACATTTCTGCCATCTAACAGTATTTATCATCATATCCCATGCACAATACCGGGATCCTGGACCTGGACCAGCTACATGTAATGCAGTCTTTATAAATCTTATACCTGTTATGATCTGTGGTGCACAGGAAGTCATGTTTTTTTGTTGACACTGAATGGAATGACAAAAACATGTGGCCTTTACCGGATGGGTTTATTTTTCCTCTGGCTGTGTGCATGCACCATGCAGACACACAAGTGCTACAGACTGTAGTTAGAATTTGTTTGTCATCATGTTGCTTGTATTGTGGCAAACTATCACATAGACCAATACGGAGTCACAGAAATGTCGCGTCACTTTAATTACTCTCTTCTCCAAGTAGGCTTTCGATTCCAGCATAAGGACTATATCAACGACTCTGTGACTGAGAATGAAACTGTATGTTTCTCAGGGACAACATCTGACTCGAAGGGGGTCTGTGTCATCTTAGAAATTAAAATATGTAACAGTGGGATGCTGTTGTAGCTACAAGTAACACAAACTCCAGTGTTTGCTCATGTAATTTTGACTCGGACTGCTACATAAATGAAACTCGCACGCAATGACCCAAGCCCCCAGGAAGTGCTTAGTGCTTTGAAGCCAATTTTCATAGTCGCCAAATTGTGGCATTACAACTTCCGGGTCCATCATGTGATGCAGGGTGGCCCCGAAAGACATTTTCCCATAGACTTGTATTGCTACAGTGTTTTTTTTTTTTGTTTTTTTTTTTATAAATTTGAGCAGCACAACCCTCGCAAAATGACTCCTTCCACTTCCAGATTTTGATCCATTCGATCCGATAACATTTGGAAAATCTAGAACAGCCTCATGATTAAAACACTTTACCCCCATTCAAGTTAGCAGAGGGAGAGGAAGCAGTTTTTTTGCTTCCCTCAGCTTGGACATGTGATCAGAGCTTACAGACTTAGTGTTATCATTAGTAACACTGGGGCAGGCATGATGATAACCGCTGTTCTAGATTTTCTGACTTTTATTTGTTATTGTGTGGGCGGTCGCGGTGCGGCAATGGATGTCAACCACACATTTAACTTTTCTGCCGGGTGTTCAACCAGCAGCAGTGACTTGTGATGGAATGAAAGGGACTCTGCTGTGGGCAGAGAGAGACCAGTGGCTTATCTTGTGTCTGTAGCTGCCATAAATAGAGCATCAGAGTGTGCTTGTAAAAAAACAACCTCTGTGAAAGACGGTTAAAGTGGGTGTACAGTAGTTGGAATAGCAGCAGTGATTCAGCACCAGCTCGTATCTCAAGTTTATGTAACCTTCTCATTATGTAAACATATATCCTGTCTTACTGTGCTGTTGCCAACCTTTCCCCGACATGACGACAGTTCAGTGGCACGACGACGTGCCTTCACTCCTCCTGTACAGAAGGGAAAGGGTGATGTGAAGTGAATGGCTCCTGTGCTCTCTGGCACGGTGAGTAGTTGACCGGGGGCAGCTGTTGGCTGAGGCTGTTTCCAGGGTTTGCAATGGATTGGCTATATTTAGATCTGATTATCTCAGGCCACACAGTGTATTGGCATTTCTCAGATTGGTACAGACAAACAGAAGAGCCCAAATGAAGAGAGATAAAAATGAAGAGCTGTTGTGCCTTTTTATGTGAAGTGCAGTGAAAACAGTGGATAATTCCTGGGGCTTTTGCATCATTTGTTGTGCTCTATATAGTATAGCTGCAACAATTAGTCGATTAATCGACAAGTTGTCAACTATTAAATCGGCACCTAAACAATTTAATCACAGAAGGGGAAAAAATGAGAAAATTCTCTGATTCCAGCTTCTCAAAATGTGAATATTTTCTGGTTTGTGGACAAAATAAGACATTTGAGGATGCCATCTTGGGCTTTGGGAAACCCTGATCGACTTAAAAAAACCAACAAAAAAACAAACAACTAATCGAATAATCGTGAAAAGGATCATTAGTTGCAGCTAGGGCTGGGCAAAATGGCCTAAAATATTATCACGATAAAAACATTTCATTATCTTTATGTCTATAATTATCACGATAAATGTCAAATCAAGTTTAAAGACTTTTTTTATTTATTTCCTCCCCTGAGTGACAGTTGAAGAAACAAAATGGTTAATTGTCACATTTCAAACAGCAGATCTCTTCACAAATCTGTCATCGTGTGTGTGAGTGTGTGTGTGTGTGAGTGTGTGTGAGTGTGTGTCACTGTCTCAAGTTGCAATACCTATCGGAATGCACAGATTTGATTGGCTGATTTAAAACGCATTCATATGGTTAGTGAGTGTCCTGGCTGCTAAACTGGTGCCGTAAAGGCTAGAAAAGCTGCACTACTAAAAATAGAAACGTTCCTTCAAAATTTTATTATTCTCAATTTATCGGTTATTGATCCGCAGAGGACATCATCTAGGTCCGGACCCGGTCTGTGGTCCAGCTATTAGTGAGTTAAGTTGAATAGTTGTTGTGAGAAACAAAATGATGTATCACCCAGTTGACCTGAACACACAGAGTTTATGCTTTAATAACATCCCTCAATTCCGGCAATATGGAACAGCTACCAGACATATGTTGTAATTTTCCATATTGTAAAACTTCAATTAATCGCCCACAAGATGTGCTGCAGTCACTAAACTTAGGCCTTTAATTCCTTTCACACAAAACTCTTGCTTAGCAAAATCGAAAGGACTATCAAAATGTTTGTTTAAACCAGGATGAATGTAAAAAAATTTGCCAGGCTATCAAATAACATAATGACAATTATGAATCATTCATTTGTTTTAGTAGAGAGGGAGAGAGAGAGAGAGAGTGCCCCTGTGTCGAAATACTACTACCTTTTAGAAAGAATGAAAGCCGAAGGTTACCGTAGTTATTTCAGCTTCAGATTTATTTTTATGAAAATGTTTTGTTCTTGTGATCTGTGGACCCTTGTGGACTAAAGCAATATAAATAAGCGATATGGACACAAATTCGGACTTTATGACCTCCACTTCTCTTGTTTACCTCAATGTGAATGAATTGTGCTTTGGTGCTCATGGTTTCTCTATAATGAAATGAACGATTGAAGTGCGAAAGTGCATACAGCTTGAATTAGTTGTGCAGCAGGTAGTGGCAGACTTCAATGCAAGCACACCGTAGACAGACTGCACAATGATTTATACCTCTATACAATCAATCTCATTTTATATTGTAGGAATTCTGTTGCTTTGCTAGTATATCTTTAAAAATAATTGGTTTCTGATAATCTTATTTATTATTTCTGTAAGGAGAACACGGGACAAGTGATTTACAGAGCAGATGTGTGCTGACAGAAAAAAGCAATTTCATTTCAGTTGGACCATATTTCTCATAGTAAAACCAGGTTACCTTGCGATTATTCTTGTGCAATACTCATAAGAAAAATAACCTGAAACCAACCTCCTATGTTATATTAAATCCCCCTGTCCATATATCCACCTCATTAATCCCCACTCTTCATCTGTGTTGTGAAGATTAGCTTTGCAGGGAGCACACAAGTATGCGTGTAATTTATTTGAAGTGACCAGCTGTTGTTGTCAGTGGTAATGTGTACTGTGTGTGTGAGAGAAGCTGCAGGCCAGGACAAGGAGATTAGGTTGAATGGTATTCTTGTCTGTTGACATCTGACAAGTTGAGGTGTTTTATTTAATCTTGTCAAAGTTGTGATTGAGATTTGGACTGAAGGGAAGGACGAAGGCAGCAGGATTTCCCTCCTATAGGGGTGAAAGCCTCTTCTCTTCACAACTGGGATTTCCTCCTGAGGCTCCTCTTTGTGTTTGTCCATATATGATGTTCAGATCTCAGTCCCCATGTTTTATATACAGACACTGTGTGTTTTCATTTTGATGGCTGGAGGTGGTTTTACACACACACACACACACACACACACACACAGGTTCCAGTGTGTAATGGTGTTGCCTGTATTTGGCAGGAACAGGCCTGAAGGGAAGATTTTGGAGACGGTGGGAATGTTTGAGGCTGTGAAGCAGCACGGCAAATATGAAACAGGACAGGTAAGAATCACGTTCACTTTCAATCACCAAACACACATAGACACTTCAAATCACAGATGGGCTGGTCCAGCTCCCTACAAACCTTTAGGTTAAGGATTTAGAGATATTTTTACTCCTGTACTGTCACATGTTTACCATATCTGGTCTGTTTTTCCTTTTTGCTAAACTAGTAACTTTTATATTGTTATGACAGCACATTTGCATGATCCTGTCAAGTAACTGTAATCCCATCTAATTTTTGCTTTATTAAACCTCTTACAGATATAATCTCCTTTCTCCTTGTTGTTGCTCTCCTCAGCTGTTTCTCCATAGTGTTTTTGGCTACAGAGGCATCGTCTTGTTTCCTTGGCACGCCAGACTCTATGACAGAGACATCACCCCCCCCATGTCTGACAGGTAAACCTCCATCTGAGGCTGCAGACTGCACCAAACCGACCCTGGCTTGGTTTCTGGGTCAGACTCTAACTGAGATCCTTTTTGTGTCTCTTGCTTTCTTCTTTCAGCAAACCTGAGCCCCCAGGAGCCCATGGCTCCAAGGAGGTGAAGGGGAAGACCCACACCTACTACCAAGTCCTGATTGACACTAGGGACTGCCCTCACATAGTATGTCACTATATGTTTACGTTTCACATACATTTATATTGCATATAAGCAAGTTCAGTTGATATTATATTGAAGCTACTAACTGATCATTTTGGAAACTCTAACTTTTATTTTTATTTTGCAATTATTCTGTATATTTACTGCATACTTTTAAATGCTAAATAATGTTGTCATGGCAGGAGGGAAAAGCCTCTGAATTGAGCAGTATTTACATGAGAGGGTGAGCTTTACTGTCCCTGGCACAACAGGGGTCAGGACTGTGGTGCAACAAAATAAAAGATATGTTCATATTGTGGGGCAATTTTCTCTTAAAAACAAAAACCTTTTTGCTAGTGTTATCGCCATTTCCATGGAAATATACCAGGCCTGTCTATTTCAAGTAGCTGGGCTATTTAAAAATGATAAAATATTCTTTATGTGCTTCATCAATGGTGATAAATTATCCGAAAGTCCCGTGAGGTGAGTCAGCAAGTGTTCCTCCACTGCCACTGCACACATACACACTACACCTACACATGTGCACTGACGACCCAGGGTTAGGGTTACAATTTTGGATTTATTTACACACTTTAAAAACATTTATTGAATGTTTTATTCTTTTTACATGTTTATTTACAGCGTTAAACGTTGAAATGTATATTGTAATAGGCTGTATATTAACTTATTGGGAGAAAACTGGTAGTTCTATGTAAAATCAGATGTTGAGCACCCCCATATCACCAAAATGGCATGATCCTCGTTTCGCTGCGAATGTTCGACTGTGATATTGACAGTAGAATCAGGCTCCGCCCATCGAAGCATCAAAACTTTGACTATTTGTGGTCATCCCTAAATAAATGTAATCAACCTAAAAAGGATGTAAAATAAATAAATCAATGAAATATTCTGCTTCAATGCTTAATTGTTGGCGTTAGCCTTAAACAACGTTTTCACTGCAATCACAAAAGTTGTTTGCTCTCCAGTTTGCAGCACACAAACAACAATTAACACTAAGCCACAATCACTTTGCCAAAAACTAAGAGATGAATGAATAAATAATGAATAACGGAACATTATTCACAAATACCAGTGTCTGTGCAATCAGTGGAAATGTTTTATGGAGACGTAGCCACCACGGTGGGAGAATCAAGCTGTGGTTGTTCATTGGTGTGGGAGTCACCAGTTGTGTGACAGTTGGTCTGTGTTGTGTTTGACAGTCTCAGAGGTCCCAGACAGAGGCAGTGACGTTTTTGGCCAACCATGATGACAGCAGAGCCCTGTACGCCATCCCAGGTATGTGGCCATATGTAGACTGGTCAGGACTTCACTGATGCATCACTGACATGTTGCCCAAATAATTATTATTGGTGGGCTTCGTGTATCACTTTTCTAATAGTTTGGAATTGGGCATTTGTGATATCTGGATAAACATGGAAGAAATTCACTTCAGCTCCCACAGAATGTAAAACCCATTTGAGGTGGCTATAATGGCTCTGTCTCGTCCCCACATGACAGTGTGTGTGTGTGTGTGTGTGTGTCTGTGTTTATCTTCAGGTCTGGACTATGTGAGCCATGAAGACATCCTGCCCTATAACTCTGCAGAGCAGGCCCCTATCCAGCACGAGCTGTTCGAGCGCTTCCTCATGTACAACCCTGACAAATGTAAACACTTTTCTCTGGTCTCCACTTTAACATCATTCTTCACACAAACCTTTTACAATGCCCAGGTTTACTTCACTGACTGTGTATTTCCCTGATATACAACAAGTCATATGTGGTTTCACCTTTGGTTCGGATCTGCTGTAGACACCATTGACATTACAGTGACAGAAAATGGTGTTCTGTTAAGGGATGCACCAGATGTTCGGCCACTGAAATTAATCGGCCAGAATAGCAAAACAAAAAGCACTTTTGGTGTGTGGCCTAATAAGTCAAAAGACAGAATAAATTTTACCGAACAATTACGTTGACATGTTGGCAGTGTGGAGGCATCTTAGAGTGTCTGAGAAAGATGCAAAAGTCGCCGTTTGCAGACACTGTTCTGCTGAATCGTCTCTATGCACGTCCACTCCATCTGTGGCTGACTTCTTAGAAAAGGCAACAAACGGTCTATGAGAAAGCGATTTAGCTAGCAGCACCCAAAAAAAAAGCAAAATAAATGGAAAAAATGTGAATGTACTTGTTCGGTATTCTGAAATTTTTTCCGGCTTCGGTGCATCCCTAGTTGTGTTAAATATTTTGGGTGTTTTGTCCTCCGCTGTAGCTCCTCCGTTCACAGCCAGAGACACCCTGAAGGCGTGGCAGGAGAAGAACCACCCCTGGCTGGAGCTCTCAGATGTCCACCGGGAAACCACCGAGAACATCAGAGTAACTGTCATCCCCTTCTACATGGGCATGAGGGTAAATGACAAGTGCAACTCTTACATGCATAAATCAGCGTGACACCGCAGAAATATGGCGCTGCTGCTGGATCTTCTTAAAGCACAGCCTGTAGCTACAGTGTGAAGCTCGTCTACATTGCATTGGTGTCATTTTGGTTCTGCCAATCAAGACCCTGCCATACAGGCTTCTTGTAGCCTTTTCCTGTTTTAGTGGGTTCTGTTGTCTTTTGAAATACTAAAAGGTTTTTCTTGTTCTCAGGAGGCCCAGAACTCCCATGTTTACTGGGTGAGTAGCGGATATATATTTTTTATTATCTGTGGGGGACATCATGTGGGCTGGTGTACAAGGACAGTCACAGTGGGGAAATTAACACCAGTTACAAGCCAGGCACTGGAAAATGTCATGACTATTAACATGTTTGTGTTGTTTTCCTGCAGTGGCGCTACTGTATCCGTCTAGAGAACATGGGCGACGAGGTGGTTCAGCTGAGAGAGAGGCACTGGAGGATCTTCAGCCTGTCAGGAACCCTGGAGACGGTCCGTGGACGAGGAGTCGTAGGCAGGGTTAGTACAACACACAAAAATGCTGTATCCACGACCATCTGGAGACAGTGTTAGTTTACCTTTTTTTTATATTGCATAAAGCATCTTTTCATTTTGTTTAAATGTCTCAAATTTAACAGATACAGTTACTGTATATAAAGATATCAACCTACTTTATGCTAACAAGAAATAATACAGTACATGTGTTTTCAGATATTACTGCAATTTAAACTTCCAAAGAGACATCTTTTTGTTTTCCCATATTTTTTCAGTTGTTTCACAATCACCCACAATTTAATTTAAAGAGGTGGTATTATGCTCTGTATTTCAAAATCTTATTTAGAGGTTGTACCAGAACAGGTTTACATGGTTTAATATTAAAAAAACACCATATTTTTGTCATACTACACATTGCTGCAGCTCCTCTATCCACCCTGTGTTGAAGGCTTCATTTTAGCCATGGAGTGATGCATCTTGTCTCTAAATGATCTTTGTTGGGAGTTGCACATACGCAGTTCCTAGTTAAGAACTTCTAGCCAATCAGAAGCAGAGAAGGGCGGGTCAGCGAAAAGACGGTAAACGGCTTCGATTCAGCTGTAGGCTACATGTTGCCAACCAGGTTAGCTACATGAACTGGAGCGAGAGTTTCAGAGTGGTGAGTTATTAATCTGTAACAAAAGTATCTTTCATCCATAAAGTTTTAACTGAGCTCTGTCTCTACATCACAGCAACAACTTTATGTCCACTGACTGCCTGGAGGGGAGCTAGTGTTTGGAAGTTTCCCTTTGCAAACCTGTTACATGCACAAAAAGAGAGATAACTCAATAAAGGAGAGGGAAAAAGCCTAAAACCATAATACCACCTCTTTAAATGTCTTAATTTCCTTTTGTGCATTGTGTTTTGGGAGAATAGTGTTCATCAACAGCAAACTCAGAAATGGACCATATTTGTATGCATTCTGTCTGCTTGGAGTATATATTTAATTCTGTCATGTGAAAAAACAGGCGTCAAACAGGTAGCAGCAAATGATGTACATGCTGGTTATAGTGCATTTCTCTTCTTTCTAAAATGGGTTGTTCCAGATATTGTTCAGAAGAACAGCATACTTTGATTTAAAAAGTTGATTGGAGAGGGGGACACATAAAGAAGCGCAGAAAATAATGGGCCACTCGGCTAAAATGATCTCAATGTTTTAAAATGGCAACCAAAACCAGAAAGAAGTGGAAGAAAACAGAAAACTACCACTCGAATGGATGGAAGAATAGCCAGAATGGCAAAGACTCAGCCAATGATCAGCTCCAGGGAGATCAAAGAGGGTCTAAAGTTACCTGCGAGTACTGTAACAATTAGACGCCTATGCGAAGCCAAGCTATCAGCAAGAAGCCCCTGCAAAGAGCCATTGTTGGAAAAAAAACATGTGCTGAAGAGGTTACAATTTGCCAAAGAACGCATTGACTGGCCTAAAGAGAAATGGTGCAACATTTTGTGGACTGATGAAAGCAAGATTGTTCTTTTTGGGTCTGGGGGCCGCAGACAGTTTGTCAAACGACCCTTAAACACTGAATTCAAGTCACAGTACAGTGAAAACAGTGAAGCATGGTGGCACAAGCATCATGATATGGGGATGTTTATCGCATACCAGGGATAATGGACCAGTTTGAATAAATCAAAATACTTGAGGTCATGTTGCCTCATGCTGAAGAGGGAATGCCCTTGAAATGGTTGTTTCAACAAGACAACGACCCCAAACACACCAGTAAGTGAGCAACATCTTGGTTCCAGACAAACAAGATTAACGTTATGGAGTAGCCAGCCCAATCCCCGGACCTTAATCTAATAGAAAACTTGTGGGGTGACATCAAAAATGCTGTTTCTGAGGCACAACCAAGAAATGCAGAGGAATTGTGGAATGTAGTCCAATCGTCCTGGGCTGGAATGCCTGTTCACAGGTGCCAGAAGTTGGTCGACTCCATGCAACACAGATGTGAAGTAATTCTCAAAAATCAGTGGTCCTACAACTAAATACTAGTTCAGTGATTGACAGGAAGGCTAAATCTTCAAGGAGTTTGTAAAGGAAAATGCAGACATTTGTTGGACAGCCTAATATTCCTTTTTCCTCACTTTCTGTAAAGTAATGACAAATTTGATGAATATTTCTTTATGTTTTGATTTGGAATAGAATGTGCAGTCTTGTATGGAAATTGAAGCTATTATATGGATTTGGGGCTTTACTCACTTTTTCCAACACACTATTGTTTTGAACACAACTTTTAACTGGTGTAGCTCTACAGATTTGTTGCTGCACAGAGGTGACAAATCACAAACGCAAATATCACTTCAACAATAGGAGTGCAAACCTCACAAATTAGTGTCTTGCACTTTGAACCATACAGATTTTTGTATAACCTTGTCCACATTGTGCATGTCTTTGTGTGCTGCCACAGGAGCCGGTGTTGTCTAAAGAACAGCCAGCCTTTCAGTACAGCAGCCACGTGTCTCTACAAGCTCCCAGTGGACACATGTGGTGAGTTTGCTCATTAATATCACACATTCTACTACTTAGTACATCTTACGTACGTAACCCTTTTGCCTTTTTTGGATTTGCTGCTCGTGTCACTTTTAAGGCTATCCCACCTGCTCATTATTCACCGGTCTTTGCTTGTAATAGTGCTCATTCTGTTATTTCTGTTTAGGGGGACGTTTCGTATCGAAAGGACTGACGGCTCCCACTTCGATGTTCGCATTCCTCCTTTCTCCCTGGAGAGCAACAAAGACGACAAAGCACCCCCCGCTGGCTATACATTTTAAGTGCCAGTAGTGACCTCCCACCTGTGAGGCCCCGGACAAGCTTTCAGTCGTGGTCCTGTCTGGGTTGTCTAGAATTGTTCTCCTCCTGTAACGTTGCCTCAGCCTTCAGCGTAAGACTAGCGTGAGTCAGATTATGCAAAGGGAAAATATAGCATTGTCTAGATCATCCAAATGCAGATCCACCTTTCCTGCCAGAGTGCACCCAACAGCAGTATGTCATTGATTAAATCATATACAGTAGAAACATTAGTGACAGTCCACTACGTCTTCAGTCCGTGATGTGTTTGGAGAGACATGCACGTTCTAGTGAAAGAGCACTGGGAGGTGGGGAGGGGGAGGTGGGGAGGGGGTTAATGTTTACAGCTGTACTGGACATGTTGTGCACGCCATAGTTGAAATATTGATCAGGCTGTTTTTATAGTGAGCGTTTCCTGCTGAGCGTTGGGTTCATGAAAAGAGCAACAGCTCTAGCATAGCTTCATCCACACTGAGGCCTCAGTGGGATACTTCAGGACAACAAGTAAGCCATCACTTTACCTCAGTTTCAAACTCCTCCTTCCTTAATAATGATCTTGTTTGAATTTATGAAAACGTGACGGGTTACTTTCATCCAGGACACAATTTTCCTGTCATGTTTTTTAATTAGAATAGTGCCCTGTCACAGTTAATGTCAGTCCTGTGTGGGCCACTTAAGAGAGGAATATTGGATTCGATCCTGGTAATAGTTCTTTATAGTATTTGTTTTGCAACATTGAAGTACAGTGGATATAGTTGGAGATGTCAAAATCAAATCTCTACAAATAGTCTTAAGTAGGAAACATAAAATCCAGTAGTCTTTATCTTCACCCCTTGTCATTATTCAGTAGTTACAGTCTTCTACAGTCTATGCGCTCTTCTCCAGACTCAGAACATTACTGGTGGTGTTGTGACTCCTTCCAGGGCCTGCTGTAGAGAAGCTGCCCCCTCCAGGCTTTAGGCCACGTTCTCGTCATATGGGATGGACTGCAGAGATGGATTCTTATGTTAACGACTTGTGAGCGTTCAGGTCATTAAGACGGTTGTATGATTTTAGAGTTTGTTGTGTGAGGATTAGAAACACTGCTCAGTGACAATGTAACACTATTTATTATGGTACCTTCTGTATTATTCTATATTATTAAGCCCAAAGTTGGATGGAGGAGATTTCAGAAGTGTTTCCAAGTTGATTATAACTTGGATTTTGATGAGGACTCTATTTACAAGTTGGAAAATCATCAATACCAAAACTTCCCAAAATGATGTGAATGCAACAATACTCTGGGGATGGTGTTCTTTTTATTTTCGGGGGGGTCAGCCTCTCCATTAGTACCCTGCTCACATGGACACGCAGTTTATGTTGATGGCTCGCCCTAGATGCCATATTCTTTTAATTTTTGTATGACTTACTTATCCATACTCGGTTATATTCAGTGTCTCAGACATGTGCTTGTTCCTTCCTCTGAGTGGTCATTTCTTAAACCTGTCAACAGATTTGTGTGGACAGTTATTTCGTCTTTATGATGCTATTATTGCAAGGAAAGAGAGAAACCAGCCATCGAGCTTTTCAGATACAGATGTGTTTTAAGGCTCATATCACTTGTCATACCTTGACTACACAGTCAAATTAATGATAATGCAACTTATAAACAGTTTGCTGCTCCAGGAATAATTTAGTTGTGAGGGAGTGAATACTTACACCATCAATAATCTTGAAAAATCCATTTTTTATATTTGTACTTAATTTAGATCATTTTAAAGAGATAATGTTCCCTTTTTGACATTTAAGACCCGTTCTCTGCATCACTGGTTCAAAACTCCTAATTACATTACGCTGTGATTCAATGTTGTGAAAGGTGAAAATAGAGAAGTTAAGGGGATCTGAATATGTTTTATAAGCAGTGAACTGAATGTGTTGACAGCCAAAAAAGGAATCCTTTGCTGAAAGGAGGTGAGGGTCAGGTCTTAGTTGTCTTTGAATAACAAATGCAGCACACTGTCAAGTAATTATACTAAGCCAGTGTTGTGGCTAAGAGGAGAGTGTGTGTGTGTGTAGTCTGCTCTCTGTAAAAACCTGTACACATAATGCTGGATGTCTTTTATTAAGGCTGACTGTTTGACTTTGCAAGCTCTGTAACAAGAAAAGCTCATCAGCCTAAAATGTCTCTGGTAAAGTGAGGGAAGAAACAAACATCTTTGTTTTGAAAAGTGATTTAAAGGAACTGATGGATGACATACTACTGTAAATAGAGATGTAATTAAAGGCAAAACTAATAAATATACATTTTGAAAAATAAATCTTGGCATTTCTTGTGCATGTTTTCTTGTATGTATGTAGCCGTTAGTCTTCGATAAGCTCCTGCAAGGTAAATACAGGAGCACATGGAAAGAAGACAAAAACGTGCTTTTGTCTTTTGATCTTTTAATCTTTAAATTTCCCTAAATAAAAAAATTGAATGCCAGTATATATTGTTCCTCTTCATATGCTGTTCTCGTACTACAAATTTTAATATTTAATTTTTTATATATATCGACTTGAATAGGATCGTGTATGAACGACATTTATGACCTCCACCACCAGAGGTCAGTGCAGTCCTTTCCTTGGTCACTGACTATATGTAGATCAGTAGGGTACATACCACGTGATCACACTTACTGCACTGAATGCTGATAAACTTATTTCCATGTCACCTCTTTAATTAAAGTCCGCATGATTCAGTGTAACTAAAAAAAAATAAAAAAAACTTCGCCTACACTTGATGATCCAGTAAAAGTGCGTTATATAGAATTAAAAATATAGATTACTTTATTTTAATTCATTTTAGCCTTTTAAACAAACAGTAAAACCTGTCTCTCTGTGCAAAAGACCAAGCTCGATATGAAAATCTGCCATTTTAAAATGACTGTCGACTTGAGGCCTTTTATAAATGAGGCGCCTATTTTAAGGAGATACTAACTTTTACGGTCGGGTTTAGTGGCTATGTTAACTAGTACGCCACCACATCCGGCAACATGAATCAGTTAGTTTAAAATGTACTTTGACGGTATGAGTCACCTTCACCAGATATAACCGATATGCTGAAAGGAGCAGCGCAACATTGAACTGGCGCGTGAACCTGATGGAAGCTGGCAGGCCTGCGTCGCCTTCCCGAGGAGGACGGGAGCGACGTGTCTCGGAGCGAAGAAACTGCAAACTTGGCGGTGCAAGATGCTCGTGCTCCATCAGCCCGTCCCTCCCTCTCTCCATCATTCTGCGAGCAGGGAGCACCGGAGCTCACGTGCACACGCTGCGCGCTCCCAATACACTTGAATAGAGGGTGCAATACATAATTCAGTCCCAGCAGGGGAACACCTCAGTCTCTCCCCCTCCTGCCGAGCCTGTGGACCGAGACGGCTGTTTCCTGCTCTGGAGCGGATGGAGGATCCACCTTGGAGAAGGACGAGCGCTGTGTTTGCTGCAGGTTGTGCATGACTTCCAGCGGCCGAGGAAGGACAGGGCGAGTGGTGATCTTCAGGAGACGTAAACATTGCCATGCCCTGCTACACGCACCACCTCCCCCGATCCGCTTCCTCTTCCTGCTCCGGTCCGGGACAGAGGGCTCTGTTTGAGAGGATATCGGAATAAGAAGACGACGCCGCTGTCGAAGGTAAATATTTTGGAGACGTGGTGAAGTTGCGTTCGGGATAGGAGGCTGCTGCGGGCCACGGTCTGCACCGTAGGTATCCTGCATCCTGACTTTGCTGTGTCCGTGTTTTGCGGCCATGCTGCAGGCAGCATCCTCCGACCTGTTCCCGACTTGAGCTTCACTCTCTGGGATTAACAAGTTCCCAAAAGAAGAAAACTATAGTTCCACGTTTAATGTTTGGGGGTTTGTTAAGTAGCTTTGATCATCCACTGCTCTGAGGAACTGGGTGATACTAAAACGTTTTTCACGAGCAGTTTGGAATCTTATTGCTCACAGTGCTTCATGTTTCAACCCCAGACTGTGTAGGCTTTTAGAAAGATTTGATCACGACTCTCTGCACGACTGCTCGGTTGGACCGGTCTTGTTATTATCACAGTTCACATTAACACAGCGCCATGGGTGCCAAGCAGACCAAAGGCCAGGAGCCCGGAGGAGCCAGCCCTCAGCACAGCTGGAAACGGACGCCCACTAAGGAGCGAGGTGACATCTTGGCTTCCCTCATGCTGAAGTCAGGGGACCGGCTGAGCCGTGGCGGGACCCCGCCACCCTACCAGCGCCGCATCGGCATGATCCAGGAGATGATGCTGATGGCCAAGCAGGGCAAGCAGGACGAGGCCACAGAGATGCTCAAGACCCTCCGACAGGTAGCTGCTCTGTGTGTGTGTGTGTCTGTGTGTGTGTGTGTGTGTGTGAGGGTTGGAGGGTGAGTAAAAGTCTTTGGTTCACATTTCCAACACGACACCTCAACATCCTCAGTTGGCTTTTCTTTTTCCTTCCTCTATTCATGTCTGCGCCTGCACATTGGTTCTTCCCCAGATGATGTCATCACTGATGCTGAGACAGAAGACAGGCTCAGACTGACTGACTGTTGACACGCTGACTAAACTAATTCTGCGAGTGGTTGCTTACATTGCTGATGAATTGACCTCCTCTCTGGTTCTGTGAGTGAACACGATCCCCACTGCCTGGCTAGACCTCTTGTGCTCAGCCTGGCTCTGCTGCACTGGTACAGTGTGCTACGATTTACAGCCTCTGTCTGTCTTTCAAGACATTTGCAGCGCTTGGCAGGGTGCTGCTGCTGCTGCTGCTGCTGCTGTAGCTACAGAGAGAAGGGAAAGCCCAGCAGCAGACTGAAAGAATCTGGTGTGGTGAGAAACAAAAAGAGAAGCAGGAAAATGAAATGCCACCAGCTGAATTGGAGGATTTAGAGAGCTCTAAAGAAAGGGAGGATCTGAGTGTAACATTATGGAAAATAACACATCTGAATAGATCTTTCTCAATGAGATGAGAATTAAATGGAGATAAGAAAACATTGAAGGAAGACACAGATTTATAAGCTTTCATCCCTATAGACAGCACTGCACAGCATCCATATGCTGCCAGTGTTCACTGTTTATCCCCCTATGACTCAACCATAGGGAACTGAGCCTCCAGCTTATACACTGCTTTCACAGTGTATTGTTTGGGCTTTGGAGATTTCCATCAGCTCCTTTCTGGTATTATTTACAATTTTCTGATCAGCCACATTTGGATTGTTAATCCTTGAATCAATGGCAAGCAGTGGAGCAAAGCAAACAGGCTTAAAGACGAAGGACACCTCTCCATCCGTCATCTCTACGAAAGGAGGATTAG